AGTGCACGATTTAGAAGTAAGTCCTCTTGTTTGTGTCAAACGGAAACATTCATGGGTTCTTAACTCCCCTGTTAGTGTAAATGCATCAGCAGCAAAGAAGTTTGATAACACAGCAAGCACCCAGGCAAAATGATACAATGCAGTAGGTGATATGTGTCTCAAAGGTTTTGAGTTACTAAGGCCCCGTTTAGTATTGTTATATGTTTTTGTTTTCTGTTGTGTTTTTCAAGATTGGAGAAACCAAGAAAAAAAAAACATGTTTAGTTGGGTTTCTATTTTTTGTTGTGAATCGGATTTGCACAATAGGGTCCAAATTTGAGAAACAACAATTTATTGCTTTGGATTTGATTCTTATACATGTTTTACACGGGATTTCCGTTTGTTTTCATTAAAACAACCCTCAATTCGAATCCCACCTAAAGCAAAAAATTTCTCTTTTTTTTTTTTAACTCCCAAACCCACCTCCAAACCCTAGTCGGCCAACCCTACCCTCGTTTTCTCCCAAACCCGCCACCCAACAGCTCCCTCCCTCTCTCAACTTCTTCCTCTTGAGACCCAGGCCACCGATATCGTCCATCTCCCCCTCGTCGTCGATTTCGTCCCTTTGCCCCCGCCGCCTCCCTTTCCCCTGTCGCCCGACCTCGCAACCCTTGCCGCCTCCTCCTCTCGATTCCCGTCGCCGACTTCGAATCCTTTCCCCCGCCGCCGCCTCCTCTCTTTTCTTGTTTTTAATTCTAATAGTAGTAATTGAAAGCGTTTTTGTTTCTTGTTCTCTGCTTTCATTATTTTTTAGATTATCAACTAAACAGGTTTGTGTTTTCTATTTTTTTCCTGTTGTGGTTGTACATCTGTTTACACAACACCACTGCAACCACAACAGCAACAAATCGATACTAAACAGGGCCTAAAGCTCATGTTAAAAATAAATATGAATTAAAATGGATTATTCTATTAAGCAAACATCCCCTCTAATCATACAAAGATCAGATATCTAATTCACAAACAATTAAGCCATAAAAAATCATCACACATCCACCACCTTTGATTGCCTATATTTGGTTTTTCGCAAAGTTGTGGACTCTTAAGGGTAAAGTTCATGGGTAGTCTGTTTCATAACTCTAGAGAGCACAGTAAGCAGCCACCAACCAGACACAGTGCGGTAGGCGAATATGATTCTCAATTCACAATTTCTCACCACCGGAAGTAAGAACAGAACATAATAAGCGTAGCGTTCATGGGTGGTCTGTTTCATAGCACTACTACACAATTTGTTAAAAAAAGAAAGAAAGGTATTTAGCATCACGGCGGAACAACTTTTACAGGCCAACAACGACAACATGCTGCAACCACCAGAACTGGTATCACAACTCATAGGGAAAGTCAAAAGATTTACTCTTAAATTAAGTAGTTACAACATCGAGCAATCGTCAAGCACATACACCATCACAAAAGTCACAGAACCTGATTCACAAAGCATTCAAACATTTGAGGACATTTCTGCAAAGATACAACTTATATGTCTTTTTTCCAAGCCATTTCCATCAACATGCTAATAAATTTGCAATGCATAAAACAAATGGGCCAAAACTTGAAATTCAACCTGTTTGACCGACCCATGCCAAATTCTAATTATTCTTTACTTTTAAACTTTCTATTTGAAAATAAAAAAATAGTGAAAGAAAAAAGACGACTACAATTCGCCATTTGCACATCACTTATTCGGGAATAAAACCATATAAATTCAAAAGGAACTGAAAAGGTTGAGGATCGTTTTAATGTTTAAAATAACCAAATAGATTTTTATATTTAGTTTTTTACTAACAAATACCAAACGATTCCCTATAAAATACACTATAATTTGATCATTATGATGTCAAATAATTATAAAATATATATTTGAAATGATAAAAATTGGACTAATTGGGTTGGTCGAGGTTGAACCATTGAATAACTTTAAAATACATTATATTTTAGCCACTAAGATATAAAATAATAGCATAATATATATTATGCCAGAGAAAATAGCTTGTTTTAGAATGGCAAACCCATGATGTTCATTTGTTTTACTTGATGACCAAATCCCATGTAGGTCAGGCCCATTCAACTCTTTTATTTTATGGTTAGCGGTTAGCCCATTAGATATCATGCATTAGTCTATTGTTAAATTTTTTATTTTTAACAATAAAAAGGAGTATTATTTTTGCCTTTTCATATATATTTTATCACCACGGATAAATAAAAGGGTATAAAGAAAAAAATTGACACTCCTTGACTCGTTTAAATCCGCATGTGTACGGTAAGTTGGCCCGTTCCATAGAGGAAAGAGAAAAAATTGACACCCTATTTTACCCTTCCTACAAACGCTCATGGAACAGGGAATTTGAAATGGGGGAAGAGTTTTTTCCACCCTGCTATTATATGTTTTTAATTTAAAAGGATACAACAAATGTACTTAGTGTGATTGGTTATGATCCTTGCCTTTCTTTAAAATGGTCATGGTTCGAATCCCAGTACATACCTTTTTAATGAATACAAAAAAGTAATTGTGAAGACCAAAATGTCCTTCCTACTTTCACTCTCGTTGCAGGAAATTTGAAATGGGGCTCCCGTTTTTCCCTTCGGTGTATTATATTATGTGTAGATTCGGTCATGAGTTGACCAGTCAAAATAAAACGCCATTGCATCAAACTGTTGTTGTTCCGCCATTGATAAAATACATCCGGCCAGCCGGCCGAGCCCTTATCTAGTATTTGATACATTCATTTTGTATGTCGTGTATTAGGTAACCTAATTCGCCTACCTAGCCCCGACGATCCTGCGCTAGTTCGCGGAAACGCGGATTTTACACAGAGCTCACAAAATTCGCGAACTACTTTTCTTGAGAGCGCGGATTTCCCGAAGTAAGAGCGTGACTTTCCGGTGAACTCCCTTTCGGATGGAATTGGCCGGAAGAAAGCAACTTGGCAACGGCAGATGCCACCGCCATCGTTGCCATCGGCGAACCTTTTTCTACACCCTTCACTCCACCGAGACCAAACCTAGAAATAATAGGGATCAGAATCATAAAATTGACCCAAATCGGAATCTAACAAAAAAGATGAACATGCATGTCTCAGAAGACCTACCCGATTCGCGATTCTCTCATTATTGTCCCCGATAACGAGAGGAGAAGAAGCAGATTCGGAGCTTCCTTTCCTCACCTTCCTTCTCCTTAGATAGTCAGAGAACACTCTGTGTGATGACAGGTGCGAGCGCTCGGATAATCAAGAGATGACGATGACGAGCACGCTATACTGTTTTCAGGCACCGTGAAGAGGGTCGTCGGCGAGTGATATCGGAATTGAGCCGTCGACGAGCACAAGTTTATTCTTTAATAAAAAAGAGCCATTATCGTCGAGCGGCGCCATGAATTGAAATTGGAACTGTGAAGATGGAGGAGACGAGCAGGGATGCCGGATTCTCAACTTAATTAATGAAGAGAGGGTGATTTTGGTTGAAATTGAGCAAATCCACCATTGAAGAAAGCTCTGGAAGAGATGGTGGGAAAGGAATACGAAGAGTAAAGGAGAGTGAAACGGAAAAGAAAAGTAAAGAAGGAAAGTAAAAAAAACTATTGGAATAAAAAGGAATGTACACAGTTGTGAATAGGGGTGGATATACGGTCCGGTCCGGTTAAATTGGACCAAATTGATCTGGTCCCAGTCCGGTCTTTTCGGGAATATAAGGACCAAAGATTGGATTGGATACAGTATGGTCTTGATCCGGTCCGGTCTTGACCCGGTCCGGTCCCAATTTTATCTTGATTTTAGGTGTTGGGGGTCTCTTATCCGGTCTTTATCCGGTTTTTTACCTCAAATTTAAGCCCGAATATGAGATTGCATTGTTTGCTATCCGGTCCCAGTCCGGTCCCGGTCCGGGTTATACGATCCGGTTTTGGGTAAAACCAAACAGTCTGGGACCAAATAGCAAGCCCTAGTTGTGAACAACTAGAGAAGGAAAACGCTTAAGTGATGGTGATTTATATATATCTTTTGGTCGCAGATGGGTGAGGAATTGGGATTTAGAAAATGCCAAAATAGTATTTTTAAATTATATTTATACAATAATGAATAATAATAAAATATTAGCGCTCTGTTCATGCTCTCAATTGTGAATTCTTAAAAGATTGGCGCTTTGACGTTCTCGCTCCCGCTCCCGCTCTCGCTCTACGTTCTGGTTACCTAAGTCGTGTATGGTACATGTGATTGATGTAACGATTAAAAAAATAATCAAATATTCAACATTAATTAATCTTATATTATAATTTATAGTTGTCATATTGTTTAGTTAATAAATTTTAACTAGTTCAAATCATATATTTTTATGATTTTTTTTATGCGAAGTTCAAATCATGTTATTTCATAGTATCGAAACAATTTTGTACAAAATTTCTTTATAAAATTAAAATTAAAAATAAAACATGATATGAGATATATAATTTAACAATTCTATAAATTACCAAATTAGATTGATTCCTAGTTTTCAACCATACAAAGTACAAACTAACAGAATGAATACAAGCACAAAATGCCTCACCGATATAACTCGATAGGGTATCATTCTACACTCAAGTGGAAGAAGAAGCTATTTGAATTGAACCTGGCTTCAGTCAGCACATATTAATCTCGTCCCGTCCTTGCAATCACTCGTCAAATTATAGAACGTCTCAACCCGAGTCTTCCCCTATAGAACACCTCGATCAGTATCCACTGCAACTCTCATATACCCATCAAACTGCACTGCCCTCCCGCCATTCAATTCTCTCGTCGCGTTATACCACTCGCTTGTTTCCCCCCACATCTCCTTAGTAATCATCTAGCAAATGCACCTTAAAGTGCGACCTCAGCTTATCGAAATAATTAGAGAACGACTCGTTCGTCGCCACATACAAGTTCCTCCATGGCTGAACCATCTTTTGAACCTTCTCCACCAAGGCATCTGGGGACGTGTCAGCATCTAGATGCGGCTATCGTTCTTTATTCCCTGCTTGAGGGTGCTCGAGGCAGAGGCAGAGGCAGGGGCGGCCAAGCTGTGTAGGCTGAAGGGAGAAGACTCTTGCCGGCGGCCTGTAGCGCGCCGCCGATGAAGGGAAAACACCCTTGTCTGGCGATGCGATCGAGCGGCTGCGGCTGCGGCTGCGGGAGACAACGGCTGCAAGAGTGGGAGATCAAGAAGAAAATGTAGGGTTTTCTTTCGTTTCCATACCCCTGCTCTACTTCTCGCCTTCTCCCAGCGAAGCGACGCCGCACAGCCTGAAACAACACCTCAAGAGAAGCGACCCTTTGACTCGCTGGGACAGGCTAACCACCCGGATTTCGCCGTGTTTGACCGAGTTTGACCAAATCCGGGCTGATAGTCAAAAGGTTACTATGGCCCGTTTTTTAGGGCGGGTCCGGGCCAACCCGGGTCGACCCGCGGGTTAACAACCTTGGTCACAGCAGTGGGTTGGGAGGCCGAGACAAGCAAGCACCCTGCCTTCTTAGTTGATTTATGTGCGCAAGGTTCAGATACGGAAAGCAAAGGGTCATATCATTCAACCTACAGAGCTTGCTGCTAATTACTCTCTACAACAACAAATCACCACATTTACACAGTGATTTAAGAAACCTAACAAGCTGGACTACAGCTTGACAACAGCTCCCGTGGTCTGGGTATCAGGTGGTGCAAATGGGACAATCAATATCTGTAGTCGTCTTCAGGATGGTCGAATATCGAGTAACCGGTGGTGCTCCTGGATTTATCCTGCAAAAACCACCCCCGCAGATAAACACTTGTTAAAGGTCACTTCAACATACACTGGAGAATGGAAAGTATAACCCTACTAAGAAACTGTGCACTCCACAAGTTCGTTTGAATGTATGGCTGCCATAAGAATCAGAGTTATCAGTTTATGAAGGCATTACATACCCTGTGGATGAGAGTCTCAAACGCCTCTGTGCCATGCTCTTGGATGTATTTCTCGGCGGCAGTCAGGATATCTTCTTTCTCAGTGAACACGTCCTTCTTCCTTGGGACATACCATATGTTTATGGTTTGTTGCGGGTTGAGGAAGAGTGGCCTCAGAAAGTGCTCATAAACATAAGCAGCGCCACTGAAGTACGGTAGCACCAACCAGCAAGTGAAAATGAGCTTTACATAGGACCAGATGGGTATCCTGGCAGTCATAGCATGATTCATAAATAACTCTTATCAGAAGACTGACATATAGAGGCAAAAGTCTAAAAGACCAAGCTTAGCCACTCAGCTATGCGTAGCGATATTTGACTCTGATTATCATGAGCATAGAATAAATGATCTGATTTCAGTATGGATAAGCTTGTGGGGATGCTGAGAAGCACAACGAATTACAAGAACCACTACCACGAATGCATAACATAGATAAGAGTTCCATAATGTTTACTCTATTAGAGCAATTATGGTGAAAATGAGCTGAGCTGCAGGGACAAGAAGAAAATGAGTCACCATTCAATAACCCTTGCGAAGGTGAGCTCCAAGAGTGTGATCATAGAGTAGAGAACCCAATAGGTGAGCCATTGGCGATCATCATTCTGAGATTTGGTCTCTATAGCCCGGATCGAAGCGTACCTGTGGCCGTAAAACCCAGATTTATAAGCTACCCAATTCAGTTCCAAGCAGACAGATTGACAAATTTGGGAATGTCAGCATCTATCCAACTCCAGCCCATGAAAGAACGATTCAGAACTTGTAAATACCAAAGGAATCGAGATTCACACGAAAAAGTAACGATGACTTACAGAGGATAAAGGAGACTGACAACAGGCCTACAACAAATCAAACCGATAATAGTCAAATGGGTTTCATTTCCTTGTTAAGAATCAGAATCTGGTTAAGTAAATCTCTGAGCTTTTTCTAGCAATCCAATGAATCTGGGAAGCAAAACAGTAAATGGGGAAGAAGAGGATGCGTACCCAGCAAGAACATCAAAGTTCTTGAGAAGAACCTTGAGGAAGCTTCCAGCACCAGATCCCATAGCAGCTAGTAGACGTGGGTTTGCTTTCCGAATGTGCGGTTCCTTTCCCTTCCTGGGTCTAGCTAGGAACAGAAGAAGCCGGTGATAAATGTGATATCTCCGGTCCCTGATTCCTTTCTTTCTTTCTTTCTTTCTTTCTTCGCTCACAGTCACCGCCGCTCTCGGGTTTTGTCGCGATGAGGGCGCCGACGCAGGTGCTTTTGGCCCTTTGGATATGTGTGGGTGGCTGGCGGTCTATTCGGCGTGTCGGGAAGAAGTGTGGACAGGTGTTTTCGTTGGGGAGTGACTCAGTGAGGTGAGCAGTGGGAACTGGGGAGAGTGGGCGGGTGGAGTAAATACTAGGCGGAGGCGAAGTTTAGTAGCACTCTGTTTAGGAAGTGGGGTAAATGAGAGGAGGGTGCAAATGTGAGGGGTAAACACAGTTTCCAACACATTTGCACCTGTTTGGTTAATTTGGAACAGTAGGGGGTGCAAAACGGGAGTGCAAATTTACTGTTTCGGCTTACCCCCCGAATTGGGGTGCAAGGGAAGGAAGGAAGAGAGGGGGAGGGGGGAATTATGGAATGTTGTTTTTCTAATTGTGTTATATATAATTATATAATAATTAATATTATCAATTTCTTTTTTATATAAATATCATTAATGTATTATTCGGGGTTGACCATTTGACTCTGGAAACAAGTTTATCAATGTTCGTCAAGTCAAATCTAGATCTCTTGGTTGAATCGAATTTGCATTGAAAATTAGAGATACGAGGTGTATGTGGAAAAGATAGAGAGAAATTATTTGGTTAACTCAGTTTATTTGACTAAATAGTTAAAACTTACAAATTCGAACGTGTTTGACTAAGTTTGACAATTTAAGATTAAACTAGACACGAAAACCCTATATAGGATGACCAGTTACGAGTTGAGCTTCGAGTTTTGAGATCGTTCGATCAATGATTATTACAATTGTTATAATTAATTATTATTTGAGCATTATCATATAATAACTATTTTTAGTAAAGTATATTTATTATATAGTAATATTTATTTTATTATTTTATGATAAAATTTTATAATTTTAAAATCTATTTTATAATCTTAAAATCTATTTTATAATCTTAAAATCTATTTTAAAATAATATAATTACTTACTTTTCACTCTATTTGCACCCCCCTACTTTTTCATCCAAACAACAATTTACCCCTCCACTTACAACCCCAGCAATTTGCACCCCCCAGCAATTTACCCCTCAACTTGTACCCCCTGCAATTTGCACCCCCCTTGTTGCCAATCAGAGTGTAAAGCATCCCCAAAGGACCACTAAAGTTCGAAAGGCTCCTCAATTTTAAGCTTTATTGAAATTTCAACACAACACTTCTAAATTAGCTATTCAAGCTTTATATTATATTACAACAAACAAACAACAACAACAAACAAATCAAATGCTAATCCAACAAATCCCTAAACAAAAAACCTTGTATTTTTCCTATCTTCTAACAAAAAAAAAAGTCAAGCTTCCAAAATCTCCACTTCATGATCCCTAATTCCATGCTCCTTTCTAACCTCCCGGTAATAAATGGTGCTAACGACGAACCCCAAAATCACCACCGCCGCATAAATACCGGCCAATGCCGCCCATTCCCACCACCTTTCCATCCAATGAGTATCATGGATTTAATTGAAATTCGTTGTTTGCTTCGTCATTTTTTTGGACCAACTCTGTGGGGCTTATGGATTTTGAGGGTCTTAATCTGTTATGCTTGGCAATGAGCCCGCGGGCGTTGGATATCTGTCAAGCCCCTCCCTCTTGTGTTGGGCTAAAACCCGCGAAGACGGTAAATTTTGCGGTGACGAGCATACCCGTGACTTGGGTGGAAATCGGTACGGTATTGATATACTAATACCAAATATAAAATTCTCGAATACCGAATTATACCCGAAAGTCAATTCCAGTCCCAATCCCTAAATAATTTCGGTATCCCAATCTCAATTCCTAAATATTCTGGTATCCCAATCGGTATTATCGAATACGAAATTAATTATATTTGAAATAAATAATTAAATATATAAATTAGATTTGATTGTTGAATTTACGGCAAAGAGAATAATAAAAGCGTCTTGAGTTTGCCTAGAGCTAGGATATGGATAAGGAGAATGAAGGAAAGGTGACATCTCAAGTTCTTGTCATTGGTAATCTTTAATTTGACGAATTGAAGGCTAAGAGACGACTAATACTAGTGTTTTCTTTTTGGTGTTATGAAAATAGCAAGTTATTAGGTGAAAGATGAAAGTGACTTAAATTGGAAAGTCAAAATTGAGTTGGATGGGGGTTTGAGTTGTGAAACAAAGATGAAATGATCTATGTATAATTAAATGACACTCTTGGTGGTTGATGGTCGTGTAGTAGTGAATGGGAGAGTCTAGTTGAGAGGATAACATACACACTAGCTTATATTTCGCTATTGATCAGTACTTCGGTATATGCCGATCCCAATCCCGTAATCCCTAATACCAAATTACAATTGAAATTCAATCCCAATCCCAAGAAATAATAAGTGTATTCGTTAATACCAAATATAGAAAAATTCGGTACGATATTCGTTATATCCCAAATACCGGTACCAAACTTCCAGCCCTACCCGCGACACGCAAGGTGTGGTTATGAGTAGGGGACGGATTCAGTGATCCTCGCCTCTTATCCGTCCTGATATCAAAATGGCGTCGTTTTGTTATGCATATATAATGCTAAAATCCCAAAATTTCCTCTCAACCCAAATATCGGTGAATCGCTGATTTCCTCCCCAAATCCCTTCAATTCCGACGATTTATCCTCCTTTCTCTACTATTTCCATAAAAAAAATAGACGATCACATCACCAATAACCCTAGGTTATGTCGTTAATCAACCCTACATTCACCTAAAATATCTCAATCGATAGAAATCTTCTACGAATCTTGCATGCAAACGATTGCTTTCCTAGATCGAGATAAGTATTCAATTCTTTCTTTCCTTAATCCAGTTTTGCTTATACGTGTATAAATAGCTGACTAACTTCATCATTTTTTCATTTGCAGTTCATCGAACCCTAAATCCAGAAACCCTAAACTTTCATATTTTGAAATCCCCCTTTCTCAGTAAGTTTCTTAGACATTAGTTAGTTTCATTGTTTAGTGTAGGTGATTGCTTAGTTAATAAGAAACACTAAATCCCTAATCATCCTGATGTGTTTTTTTTTTTTTTTTGCAGCTTTCTGTTGGGGAGTAGCTCTAAGATTCAACTGGTGCTTCAACGGCTAACTATTGAGGCAACTCTTCGATCCCTGTTTGTTGGTATATTAATCACCTTAAGTTCGAAACTAGTCAATGTGATTATGTTGTAAGTAAGTTAGAAATGTTAATGCTCACTTTGTTTATGCTAAACTAAACACATCTGATCTACTAAGTTTGAAACTGCTAAACTGCTCACTGTTGTAGCTAAGTTCCAAATGTTAAAATGCTAATGCTCACTTTGTTTATGCTAAACTGAACACATCACATCTCCTACGTTCAAAACTACTAAACTGCTCACCGTTGTAGCTAAGTTCCAAATCTAGCAATGTTAAATCCAAATCTAGCAAATTGCTCACTACTAATCCTTCATGAATATGTTTTGCCCAAGCTTCTTTAGGTGTTAGTAGGTGTTTAAAGTCTGATGTGTGGTCCCACACTCCCACTTCACTGGACTGTTCATCAATGGGGTACTGAAAGCAAAATGCAACTACTATAAGAAGGTGTTGACTGGAAAGTGTAGTTGTGGTACATCCCATCTTAGGACTCATAGCCATAGGAATCCTAGTGTTCATAAAAAATATACACGACGATTGTCAAAAAAGCCTTGGGGCTAACTACAGTGCCAAAGGAACAACTGATATGAGTACCAATTAGTTTAGCAGTGAGGTGTCTAGAAATGAGGTCTGCAGTGTATGAGTATCCCTTTTCTATTATTGACCACCTTTCCTTCAAAAGGTTTTGTTGCACCTTGAACCCTCTCTTCAAAGTCCCAACCCAAAAATATCATAAAGAAGGATATAGTTACTATTTATGGTTTAGAGAGGTCTAAGATTCAAAAGGTCATTGACGAAAACATAGTTTGGAGTAGGATAGTTGTCACCATTGGCATGTGGACTGCCATTAACCAAAAAAAGGGCTTACATGGCTATGACTGCCCATTATATAGCCAAATTTTGGAAGTTGCAAAACCATCTCGTTATGTTTGCTTATCTCCCTGCCCCACACACTAGTGAGAGGTTGGTTGGAAAGCTAGCTCAATGCCTCTAATCATGAACATTGATAGTACATTGTCAACAATTAGTCTAAAAATTTGTACTACCAACGATTCCATGATAAATCTAGTTAAACAAAGGTTGGTGCTATCTAATCTAATTAGGGATGGGGCACTTCTTCATATGAGGTGTTCTGCTTACATATTATGAGGGATGGTTTTGATGTTCTAAAAGATGGAATTGAGAAAGAGGATCTGTATCCTCTCTCGAAGATTGACTAGCTCGTCGATGCTACCTCCAGTAACCAGTTACTCACCTTTCTTGATATGTTCTCTAGGTATCACCAAATTCCCATGAAGAAAGAGGATAAAAAACAACGTTCATGACTTTGGTCGAGAGTTTCTGCTCTGAGGTCATGCCCTTCGGTCTGAAGAATGCTGGAGCCACCTACCCTTCGGTTTGAAGAACGTTGGAGCCACCTACCAACGCATCGTGGACCGGGTGTTTGCTCGGCTACTAGGAAGAAATGTTGAAGCATATGTTGATGATATCCTAGAAAAGAGCAGGGCATCAACACTCAACTTGAAGATTTGTGGGAGGCGTTCAGCACCATGCACTTATATGACCTCCGCCTTAACCCTAAAAATGTGTTTTTGGAGCATCCGCAGGAAAATTACTTGACTTCATGCTGACTCAAATGCTGACATCCACCAAAGATAGGGAGTTCCAAGTACTCGTCGGATGCCTCGTCGTCCTTAATCGCTTTATTGCCCGGGTAGGTGATCATTGTGCTCCATTTTTTGCCACCCTCAAAGGTGCTTGTAAGATATTTGCATGGACCTCCGAGTGTGATAAGGTGTTTGAGGAACTGAAAAAATTTCTTGTAAACCCACTTATACTCTCTGCCCCGAGAATAATGAAATTTTGTACCTGTACTTTGTTGTGTCCTCCAAAAGTCGTGAGTGCGGTCCTAGTTCGAAAAGACACCTTCGATTTCGAACATCTTGTTTACTGTACTAGAAAGAACCTCTATGATGCCGGAACCTGGTACACTCCTGTCAGGCTAGCTTCCTTGGCCATCGTCACCGTCTCCCTGAAGCAATACTTGTACTTCCAAACCCACCCCGTCTGCGTGCTAACGCACTTGCCTCTCCGGTGTCTATTACAAAGGATTGACATCACCGGGCACATGTTCAACTGGGCCATTGCACTAAGTGAGTATGACATCACATTTGTGCCCCGTACGACCATTCAAGTGTAGGTACTCATCAACTTTGTCGCCGAAGGCATACAAAGCCAACCCCCGCCAATGACAAAATCTTGGGGACTATTCATGATGGCGATTCAACAAATCCGGCACAGAGGCATGAATTCTCTTGGTGAGCCCTTAGATGTTGCTCACGAGCTCGTAGTAAGGTTCACGACTGACTCGCTCTAAATATTATCGCCCCGGGCCGGTCCATGTACCGCTACTTCGAGTGTTTGAAACATTATCTAGCGGATCGGTTTTGGTGAAAACAAAGGTTGAAAACTATATTACTTTGCAAAGGTAAAATGGATTTGACTCTAGTTTAGAAAGCTTCACCCGGGTGTTGCTCCCTCTAGCTAACAATTATGACTCAAAGAATCGGATGTGTGGTTAGGGGGGTCATAACACGTAGGGAAGTCCAACAAGCAACCAAAGTTACCCTCTTAGACTCGAATTGGAGTTTGGACGACCACCCACAACCAAACCCTAAGTGTTTAATGCGAATTAGGAGGTTTGCCCTTTAACTAACTTAGACTAGGGGGCATGGAATGCCCAAGGAAATCCATCTCTAGAAGAGCCTCTTAAGTTAAGGGGGGTTCTCTCTAGACTAGGTTAGAATGACAATTAGATTGATAGGCTTTCACACAACACAATCATTTCTGAATAATACCTCCACATTCACATTAAAACACATCCACACACAAATCATTCAATTCCTACAAGCATTCACATAATTGTAGCTAGGGTTTGCAAACACCCAAGTGAAATAAGAGACTACTCCATGCTAGAAGAAGGGAAAAGACAAAAGAGGAAAAGGAAAACCATCATGAAGAGGAAAGCCTTGCTCCTTGCGCTGAAGAAAACCCAAATCCTTGCTTGGAGATCAAACCCTAGCATTTCCTATTCTTTGGTTCGTCACTTTTTCACTCTAAAATCTGAAGAAGGAGAAGTTTTCTCACTCTATGTCTCTCCCTTCTTTCCTTCAACTTTCCTCTTAAGTGGGAGATCGCGCTGAGTTCAGGGCCGTGAACATTAAAACACGTCTGTGAATCAGTGCTGCGACCAAAACGCACCGCATCAACTGTTTGGGTTCACGGTCAGTGGCCCCCGTTCACGGTCTTAGCGATCGTGAACTACTTGGGAGCCTATAACTTGAAAACCCCCTCTGTTTTCTCCTTGCTCCATGGGTCATGGCTCCAGTTCACAGTCATGTAAGACTGTGAACTCTAACGTCTGGTCGTGAACTGTGGCTGTCTCCACCTCTTTTCTTCCAACTTTCGACACCGGGTATACCTGTTAGGATCTGAAGCACACTAAAACACAAGCAACCTCGCGTAAAACCAACCTTTTTGGAGTTCATTTGCAACAAACGTCAAACGGTTCCTCGTCCATTCGGTCTCCGCCCTGCTAGTGAACTAAGTAGCCAGAACTTTTGACTTTTAACTCGAGAGCCGGCCCTTACAACGTATGTCAATGCTGTTAGAATGGTTTTAGATGACTTTGTGGACTCCAGGGTCATCCACATTCGTCGGGAGGACAACCTCCACACGAACGCCCTTTCCAAATTGTCCACGACCCAAGATTTCCTTGATGAGAGCCACGTCGTGGTTGAACATCGTCCCGTCCTGCTGTGTGTCCAGAGTGCTACCTCTCTCTCCCCCAAGACTGGTGCACACCAATAATTGAATACCTCCAGCATGGTTACTCCCGCCTGGCGCAAAAGAAGCGACCCGCCTGAAACGTCGAGTTCCATTGTACGTCATGATTGATGATGCCTTATGCCCGAAGAGTTTCATTGGCCCCTACTTTCGATGCCTCAGCAAGGGTGAGACATATTTTGCCTTACATGAAGTACATGAAGCCACCTTCTCTATGCATATGGGCCCACAAAGTCTGGAAAAGACTCTCCTCCGCCAGCCGGTGCGGGCACCTCCTCCTGTGATGTCACATCATGCTCCTCTGAAGGCACCATCCTTCTCCTTGAAGACCCCCAACTCGAAGTTGTTTGCCGACAAGCATCCACTGACATACTATGAAAAATAAACGTGGAACTAAGTCCTCCTATCCCATGTGCACAATTAAGCTACGAAAATCTGACGACTCTGGAGGGATAGGAAAAATAACATACCTGGCGAAGTTAGACCTTAAGTTTCACGACACCGCCTAAGTAGCTCCCCTCTCACCGCTGCCCACCACTTGAGAGTTTCCTATAGAACAAAAAAAGAGAGGGAGTGTGAAATGAAAAAGTAAGGAGGGGGGCTTATATAGGCAAAATTAAGGTTGGGAGCAAAAGAAAGGAAGGAATATTTCCTCTTGTGGATCAGTGCAGCGAGGTCCCCGATCAGTGATCTTCATTCAGAGTCTTAAATGGCACAATCTCCTAGCCTCTCACTCCTACCAAAACGACCTCGATCTTCTAGAAAGTTTTATGGAAATGGAGCGGATTTCAAGATTTATTAGGCTTGTTTAGAATTAGAATTGAATATCTACAAGTTGAATGCTGAAATTGTCCATAGGTACTAAAAACCGGGAGTATGAGGATGAAGTTGTAGAACCTCCAAATTCATGGGGTATGGTATGTGGTGGGTATTTGGAACCTTTGACATCCTATCAATAAGTGATCATGACCACTAACTTATATACTAGAGTTAAAATTATGTGAAAAATTCGTAACAAATTCAGAAATGATGATATTTAGATACAACCTGCCTGGGTTGGAGGTGCTTCCTGCAGCCTTCTCATGCGACTGATTCCTATTGGTTGTTGCTTTTCATTTTTTATTTTGTGTTATTTATTTTGCTATTATTATTTGACAAAACCCACCAAAGTTAACACTGTTATTCTCTCATAGTCCTCGTGTAATTCTGTCCTTTTTTTCTTCTTTTTTTGCTAGTAACCTTTTCTGTAAAGGAGTCCTTTTAATTATTGTCCTCTACTAAAAAGGGAGACGTTCCCACACCAAAGAGGAGAAATAAGTCATATGTTACTAATTAGACGTTCTTTGTTATATATAGGTTATGTTAGTGGTCTCTTTATAGTTGATACCACAGAATCTTGTCCTTTTTGTCCATAACTAGAACCTAGAAGCACCGCATTGGTTGATGATATGTACTTTCTTTTATTTTAGTTACTTGATAACTAGATATGTTAATTTAGTGTGCGTAATTATTATTATCTGTTTAGATTTCTAACATAGGAATTATTATCATCTAGTTTAGCGTTGTTTTCAATAATCATAGTCAAATGATTTATTTTCTTAGAGATTTCTATAGCTCTAATATGTTCTGTTTTAATTTGATGTATGTTATTTTTATTGTTTGTTCTTCTCAAATTAGTGATCAAAAATTTATTTGAATATCAATGTGCGTTTTTCTATCAATAAATCCCAATCATATGTTGAGAACTTTTTTTTTGTAACAATGAGCGAAGGGAATTATTACTATTGTTTTGTTTAGGATTCTCTGAATAATCATATGGTCAACTGATTTATTTTATTAGAGATCTCTACAAGTAATATTCATAGTTATTATGTTGAAGAAGCGTGCATTATTATACTGTTATCTTTTTATAGCACCACAAATTTGAATTAATGTATATTGTTATGTCTTTCTTGGTACAAGAGATGAGTGCAAATTATGAAGTGCCATGTGTAGGCATGAAGTTTGATTGTGATGATAGTGCTTATGAGTTTTATAAAACGAATGCACATGCTATTGGTTTCAACGTAAGAAAGAACTTCATTAAACGTACGAAGTCTGGACAAGTAAAACGAAGGACATATTCTTGTTCTAAGGAAGGAAAAAAAACGTATTGATAAAAGGTCCAAGGATGTAGCTTATGAAAAGCCAATATTAAGAGTGGGCTGCTTAGCGGAGATGACGTGTCAACTGAAAAATGATGGCATGCTTGAGATTGTTAAATTTGGAGCAAACCATAATCAAGAGGAGCTTGCCCAAACTATGATCAAGCATATGTTGAGATCTAATTGAATGCTTAGTTATGCTCAAAAAGCTATTGTAGATGATGCTACAAAAGCTGGGTTACCAATCAAAGAGACTATTGATCTACTAGCAATGCAGGATGGAGGTCGTTAGCATAATGGGCTTTTTAGACACGGATTTCAGAAATCACATTGCTTCACAACGAAGAGCTACAATGATCAAACGAGATGGCCCGACCATGATGGATTGTTTTCAGTCAAACACAGTTAGAGGATCCATCACTCTTTTATTCAGTGCAACTCGATGATGATGATCTTCTTATCAAAATTTTTTGGGCAAATGGCAGGTTTGTAGTGATTACAAGCACTTTAGAGATGTTGTATGCTTTGACATAACTTATAGAACGAATAAGTTTGGTCGACCTTTTTCTCCGTTTATTGGAGTTAATCACGTGAAGGAGACAATAATTTTTGGGGCGATATTGCTTTATGATGAAACGATCTCATCTTTCAACTGGTTATTTGGAGTTTTTTTTAGTGTGATGGGCGGAATTCAACCCAAGACCATTTTAATAGATCAACCAGCTGCTATGGCAAGAGAAATAGAAGAGGTATTCACTGAAACTCATCATTGTTTATGTGTTTGATGTATTTATCAAAATGCCGCTATACACTTAAGCCATGTATTTCATTCATCCAAGCAATTTGTTAGTGATTTTGGTGCACATGTTTTTTTATTACGGAGATGAGGATGAGCGGCATCAAGCTTGGGATACTATGCTTAACACTTATTATTTGGAAGGCGGTGAATGGTTGCATGGAATATTCTTAGAAAGTAGAAAATGGGCAATGGTTTATGGCCGTCATATGTTTACTACTGATATGAAGAGAACACAACGTAGTGAATCAATGAATAATGTGTTGAAGAAGTACCTAAATCCAAAACACAATATGACATACTTTTTCAGCCATTATAATCGCTTGGTGGAAGATAGAAGGTACAAAGAGCTTTTGGGAGAGTTCAAAATGAGGAATACTAGCCTAGTGTTAAAAGCATATGTCGAGATGTTAAGGCACGCGTCAGATGTTTACATTCCTACAGTGTACAAAATGTTTGAAGAAGAATATGTCAAAGTTTGTGATTGCACGATTGAGAAGATCAACAAAATTGAAGGTCAAGTAGAATACAAAGTAAAATATGGCGATAGAGTTACAGAGCATCGGGTTTGATTTGAGCCTTCTTAGCAAATAGTTGAATGCAGTTGCAAGAAGTTTGACTTTGTTGAAATTTTGTTTGGAGGCGCTTCCTGCAGCCTTCCCATGCGGTTGATTCCTATTGGTTGAACTAATAGTTTTTCTTTTATCTTTTTAAATAACTCGCTACCAAATAACTCATACCTCCTGTGCTATTTCGAAATAACTCATTTTACCCCTCTGTTTTTTCCAAATACCACAAGTGCGTGATTCTACCAAACGAGATACTTTAATCCAATTGCCACTGAAATAACAAATGAACAAATAATGAGTTATTTGACAATACAAATACCACATTGACAATTAACTCATCCAAATCACACAAAACGAGCTATTTGAAAATAACTATCTACTGAGTGTTATTTTTAAATAACATATTAATGGGCATTCCATTACAAGTGTTTGTGTCCCTCTAGTGGATTTTAGATGTTACAAATTTTATTTGTTTAGACTTATATAATTAAAATCACATATTACAAAGTCATTTATTCATCTACGTATGTGTTTCCTTAACATTATTTTCTTATCACGTTCTCTCTTTTCATTTGATTGTTTAGTTTACTACAATGCGTTGTTAAGTGAAACATTTATTTTTATTTTCTGTATGTATGTATTTTTTTTCATGATTATTTTTCCTAGTATGAATCATATGTGTTATCACAACATCTTGCTTTTCTTTTTATACGATAATGTCATATTGTCTTTTTGTATATATATTATTATAAGCAAAATGAATTTGATTCTAACCCAATATGTGCTTAAATAAACTAATAAGGTCTTGCATTTATGGGGCGGGTTTGAGTTTTACTAAAACCAATGGGTCGTTTGGATGTGGAAATTGGTTCAAATTCCCGCAAAATGCAGTATTTGGGCCAAATTGGAATGTTTGGCGGGCTAAAATGAGTGTGGTAATTGGATCCCAGTATTTGGGTAAAAAACCCACAGACGCAGGATTTACAAATCTGGCATCCCACCTCTGGTAATCTCAATTCCAGCATCTAACCTTTTTTTCTCCCTACCTTATCCCTATCTTGCCCCACCAGCTTTAAACCCTCATCCCACATCGTCCTCTTCATTTATTCTCTCTGTATTTCCTTCTTTCCCCGTTCACAATGCAACTAAAAAATTCAAGTAGATCAAGTCACAGATGATGCCCGAAGATAAAGCTGCATCACGCTTTTTTATCCTTGAAACTGAAAAGATCATCTCTTTGTCACCGAAGACCTCCAGAAAAACATCCCCAGAACTCCATCTTTGTCGCCCAAACAAACCTATAATCTTCTTTGCCGGTGACAATGCAAAAACACCAAAAGGATCTTCGCTTCTAAACCCCATCGCTCAGAGGATACAAGGCAAGGTAGCCTTCATCACCGACGGTTCGAGTGGTATCGACGCCTCCAAACTGAACTCGGCCGCTTCATCGCCCAAGAAATCAGCTATGAAGTTTCCACTGACGCTGTCGTGCCTGGCGACGATGAGAGACGCCACCAATTGATCCTTTGCCTCTTCTTAATTCCGACGCCAACAATTGTTCGTCAGCTCCTGCTTCTTCTTTCTTCTTCTTCTACAGGGAACAATAAAAAACAAGCACTCGGATTCAACTCAATTGAGTAACCTCAAATCTCTCAATTTCAAGCAACCCCTTCTGCTGACAAGGTCGCGTTCAGGAAGCCTTGCATCTACTCAGCTCATTTGTGTTGCCGCGGATCTCAATTTCAAGCAATCTCTCCTTAATCCCGTCACCATCAATGGATTCTTCACCTGCTTCTTATTCCTTACATGTAATTGCGATAACACTGAAAGGTATCTACGACCTAATTCGAACAAAGGTTTGTCGGCTGTCGCTGAGAAGGACAAGAGGAATCCATTCAAAATGAAAGGACATCGTTTATGGAAGGGCACTTTTGTATTTCACTACAAATCCACACCATCAATTCACACACCTTATAATTCCACCCAAAATGTAATTTTACCCAATTTCAACATGACAATTTCTAGGTTTTCTATAGTGTGGAAATTGAACTCAATTCCCATGGTTTTATATTTCCACATCCAAACAACCTCTGAGAGTCATTGATTGGGTGGTTAAAAACGACCAAAACCAACTCACCAATCCATATACATTATGTACATCTATAATTTAGAGGGAGAAGAATAGGTTATTAAAGACATATTGGTATTTCACCTAGTTTGTTGAAGAATACCACATGCCAAATAAGTCTGCAACCAAACGAATTGATTGAAATCAATGATCACATAAATAACACACAAATACCATATCCATAAATAATGAGTTATTTGAGTCTTTGAGATTAATAAATACCGTTATGAGTGTGAACATTCTCACCCATGATTGTAGATGGTTGCCTGGCCGTGACCTGGTCGTGACCTGGCCGTGACCAGCCTGGAACGTCTTCGAATCACCCAAAATGACGTGTTTTCCCCCTCTTTGAGTTCCAAGATTGTGACCTCCTTCATGTGATCATGGCCGTTATCTTTGGCGTCATGAGCGTGATCTTTTTCGCGGTCGAAAAGCACCACGATCGCGACTCGGGTGTGAAAAATTTCTTCCCTTGACGACGACCTTGTGAAGTTCTAAGGCACTGTTCACGACCGCGATCTTCAAGGCCTCGAACATGGTAGTGGCCTGGTCACGGCCTTGACAAGGTCGTGACCTGTGCGTTTTCTCCCCTTCTTGCTCTTACGCTCCCAATCATGCTCGGATGAACTCCTATCGATTCCCGATCAATCCCAGATGTATATAATAATTTCCTCACAACCTTTGGAAAAAGCATAAAATACGACAAAGTGGGGTCAGTTCCCCTGTTGATGTGACTTGAATCGGACTACTAGCCGCTACGACTGGAAGTCGCAGGGGTCTCTCTATAATTTGTATCTATATCGAAGTATAGTGAAACTGGCTCTCGCTGTAATATGTAATCTATACTATAAATACTTCTCATACTCCTCTGTAATCTGTATCTCCTCAAAGTATAGTGAAACTGGCTCTCACCTGCCTGTGGACTAGCTAACACACATTGTGTTAGTGAACCACGTAAATCGTGTGTGTGTGTGTGTGTGTGTGTGTGTGTGTGTTTCTTGCATTGTCGAATACTCCTATTTCTTGATCTGCAGAGCAATAGTTGTGATATCCCCGATGAAAACTTTCATATCAAGAATACCTATGCCAAAATACTTGTTTTGCAAATAGGAACGAAAATAGGTATAAATCATTAATATGTGGCCTAGACATGGTGATTTAACATGCAAATACCTTAAGAATTAGGGCTAAATAATTCCCATTTTTGGTGTTATTACAGGTTGTGATCATCAGCTTCCTGCCATTTCGCTACACTGGTGCCCTTTTTCGTACCTAATTCACATGTATAGTCTAAAACACCCTAAAATCATGCATGGTATAATCAAATAGGAATTAAATAGGGATGCAAATGATGATATTCTTCTGATTATGCACATGAATTAGCACCAAACAAACCTAAATATGAAGGGTAAATAACACCGATTTAGGTGTTATCAAACTCCCTCACACTTAGTCGTTTGCTTGTACTCAAGCAAACCTACTCAAACCAATTCAACTTGATAGACAAATCATAGTGAGTGCACTCTAGTTATTCATTGCATAAAGAAGAGTAGTTGGAGATGGGTAAACCTTACTATCATCTTACTGTGCAAACACAAACTCCTTGGTGAGGATCGTACCTACTACCTCGGGATGAAGATTCAAGGTGTGCACCGAGGGACTTCTCAACAACAGTTAAGCACAAGAAATCTAGAGGGTGTTGTTTATTCTTTCTTTTAATGTAGGAGTTGTCTTTTATTGGTCTCATTTTTCAATGTTGATGCGCATTGCACCAAACCTTTGCAAACAAGCATCTCTCCCTCATGACCAAGAGTGAATGGATCATTGTATTCCCTATCAAGGTCACATGTGGGGTAATTGATGGGCGAATTCGTCTTAGCACGAGCAACACTTCCCAGCCTGCACTCCACATTGGGTTGCCACACATGTTGGGTACAAACGAGACTGAGATATCTTGAATCGCTTTAAGGTACTTTGTACCTTCCCATGCAATTTCGTGAGAAGGAGAGGTGTTTGGGGGAATAGTAAGTAGTGAAATACAATCGGGACGTGGTATAGCTATCCGGTCCGCAAACACATCCTTGAATGGTACTCCGAGTCGAGAGAAAAACCCTTTGACGGCTTAACTCAAATACTATGCTCGGTTTCCTCTCAAATGATAACCTCTTTTGCATAAGATCTTTTTTTTTTTTTTGCAAGGTTGAGCACATATTTGCATATGTTTGGAGTTCAATATGGGTGGAGAGTCCCGAACACATGTTCCTCCTAATATAGCAAACATTATCGACTCACCAAAGAGGAAGACGAGAGTAAAATCTCTCATACATCAATACTCTAATCATGCAACTACACCCTATTGAACACAACACAACAATCATCTATCAATTCAAAGCATACTGAGTAGGGAGTTGCAAGAAACAAGGTGTTTTGGAACCCACAAATTTGAAAAAAACTGGGTATGCATTCAAGGTTCCAAAACACAATCATTTAGCCATTCAACGCCACAAAACACAAACAATCAATAGCGTACACTCCCACAAGCAATCATCAACGTCTTACAATCATAATCAAGGGAGGCTACTACGATTCATAGCACATTAATCATGAACTTTCAAAGCATGCAATGCATTCATCCCACACTTAAGAAACACATTGTCCTCAATATGGGAGCTAAAGGTAGGGTTCAAGAAGCGGTACCATAGGTGTTTGTGAGTTGAGTAGGGTGCACATGTCTAGGTCTTCATTGATCTAGAGAATTAACATTTGAGCACACACATAAGAGATGAATAATGGGTTCTCCATAAACAAAACATACAAACTAATATATAGGGGTGTTCAAACAGATTGGTTACCGTGGTAACCATATTAACCGGTAGCATTCGATTAATTTGGTTGGTTAATTTGGAGGTTTGGTTTGGTTTGGTTATACAATTTAAATTATTTGGTTTAGGTGGTTTGGGTTGGATTCAACATTGCTAACCAATGAAACCACTTAACCAATCAATGATACACCTTATATACAAAATTATTTATACTTCCATGCAACCAACCAAACCAAACTTTCGTGATTCCCTATTTTATTTCCATGTGAACAACAAACCAAAACATTATGGGTCAAATATTAAATGGGCCTACCTATTTACTAAACCAAAACATTTTGGATAGCTACTAGACTTTAGGATTACGTACAATACCATGACAGCCACCTCAAATTATGTATAGTTTAAGTGTTTTGTATGAGAGCTTAACTTCCTGATGACCGGTATTGGAATGTATTTAATATGTATGTTAAGGGTTTGTTGTAAGCTAACTATATTAGGTGCAGAGATGATGATTGATGTATTAACTCGAATAATGATGATAATCATGGATGGTTAGTCTTATTATTATTGCTTACATATAATGATAGTTTATGATAGTATTAACATATGGTTATGTTTTATTCATTAACAGAATAATTGTTTTCATGTAATGTAATGTTATTTGGTTAATCCGATTAACTAAACCAATTAAACTTTGGTTTGGTTAATTTGGTTTTCGTGTTAATTTGGGCGGTTTGGTTAAGACATTTTATTACATGGTTAATGAAATTTAGGCTGAATTGATTTGGTTATTACCACGGTAACCATTTGAACACCCCTACTAGTATACCACAAACACATATTTTATTAAACATACTAAGTATTTAAAAAGAAAAATATAAAGATAGAAATCGGCCCCTAGATGCCAAAATGTCTTCGATGTACGGTTGGAGCATATGGTAGTTGCGAATCAGAGGCTCTTTCTTGTGAAGATGGTCCATCATAGTTTGTAGTCACCTCCATTGGTTGCTTTATAGTGCTTGTTGTAGTTACTCCTCGACTTGAGCTTATGGTTCTTCTCTTCATGGGTGGTTCCGGTTTATTCGTTGTTGATGTTATAAATGCGCTGCTACGGATAGGGAAATCGCCGGAATCGATAAAGCAAGAATATGAAAGCGAGAATCGAAAACACATACACACGATTTACGTGGTTCACTAACACGATGTGTGTTAGCTACGTTCACGGGCGAGAGAGAGCCAGTTTCACTATATCAAGGAGATTACAAATTACAGAGGAGTATGAGAAGTATTTATAGTACTTCTACAAGTGGGTCTAAACCTAATCCAATCTGGCAAAGGAAACGGTTACAGACCAGGCCCAGAACCCGAACCCAAATAACATTGAGCCCATGCCCAGAACAGCGAGACCCACGATTACCAGTCGTAGCGGCTGATAGTCTGATTCAAGTCACATCAAAAAATCTCCACCTTGACTTGAATCCTCTTCCTCTGAAATCTCTGATGTACTCTGCTCCTTCTCTCTCTCTCCCGCCATCAATGCCCCGCAGGGCGGAGTCACCCACTCAAGACATTCAGCAAGTCCAAGCAGTGTTGGAACTTGCCATGTGGAACCGGCTTCGTGAACATATCAGCAGGATTATCCGCGGTGCCAACCTTCTTCACCTTAATCCTCTTCTCTGTCCTCAAGAAATGATACCTCACATCGATGTGCTTAGTCCTTTCATGGCGGACTTGATCCTTGGCCAAGCATATTGCACTCAAACTGTCGCAATACACCACTGCCTGATCATGATGTAGACCAAGATCACCAACCAGTCCCTTCAACCATATTCCCTCCTTAGCAACTTCTGTCAACGCCATATACTCTGCCTCAGTAGTAGACAATGTCACCGCCGAATGCAAAGTTGCCTTCCAGCTCACTACAGAACTCCCAAGAGTGAATACATAACCGGTCATCGATCTCCTCGTG